TTTTACAAGTTAAGAAACAGTGAAGCTTAAAATTAGAAATTTATTGGCAACATTTTTTTCTTCGGGGAGTGTTTTTTTCAGACACTTACTTCTCACAAAATTTAGCAAGGTTTTGACAACGCATTTTAACCGTAGTCAACCTCTGTTGAGAAAAAACAAAAATCGTCTCGAATGTTTTATGAGTATCTCTGAAATGAAAAGAGCTAGAGAGTTCCTGTTTTCAGCATTTTGAAGACAAGACTTTGACGCATCTTTGCATAAGCAATTGAAGTTTAAAAATCTTTTTGAAGATAGGTTTTTGTAGAATTCTCTGGAAAACTCGCTGTCGGTTCTCCAAAAACCAAAGTGAGACGATATTATCTTTTTTGTATGATTAGATAGTATAAAATGTTCTCTTTGAAATGGCAGTCAACTGAGACCTTAATTTCGGTGGTTTGGATGTCGGTTTGGATTTTCTGGAAGCTCAAGGACTGGTATCTACTTTACACACTGAGTATGACTGTCTAGACAAAATACACGCTTTTAAAAATACATGCTTGATGTCGAGTGAAGATCTAGGTCATTCACACACTTTATTTTTTTATAGTGTGCATGAAAACTGTAAAATACATGCAAAATTCTTCTGAAACTCTTATCTTGTGGTTCGGTCCTGTATCAAGTTGAAAGATTAATAATTTATAGAAACTCATGTTTTCTTTCGAACCGCGTAGTTATTTGTGATAAGACTTTAATCACTGAAAACGGCTCACTTATGAGCACCACCTTTTGGTAAAAGAAATGTTTTAAATAAATGAAATATGTTAGAAGCGATTCTCTCTTCTCAAAATAATGTCGAAATATTTGTGATGAACGAATATATCACTTCAGGCGCTAATCACGTATCATTTTAAATAAAAGACTTTCGTTTTTTTGTTTTGATGGACATGAATTGAAAATCAGAATGGCGAATATAATCTGATAATAATCTTTTCTCTTCTTCCTCTCTGTATCTCTATAGTACATTCTCTTATCTGTTATTACGTTACATGATAAACATCCACCATTATAATAAAAGAAGATCGACAATTCTCATCATATCCATCTCACCTCACATACATACTATATCACGCAAAATCATTAACAGAGTCAATATGTCTACTTATTTTACACTCATAGCAATAGAATTCAAAAGCTTATTAATAATAATATGAGGCACTTTTATACTTTAAATGAGATGTCTAAATAGGACTGTTAACCTAGTAATATCATGTAGCATTTGACTGGAAATTGACATCCATATTACATCTGATACTATAATATTAAAACTTTGAACAATACGTATTGTTAGAGTTTATAAAAATTACCGTCCTTTATGTACAGTGATGAACGCAAGACATGAGAGGTTTCTGATGAAAAGAATAAAAATACAATTTTTAGAAAATCCTCCAAAAAATGTTTTTGTATTCTATATGCAAGTATCTATCTTAAAAAGAAAAAGAAATTAACACTTAGTTTAGAGAAAATGTATCAGAGAGGACGACAAATACATTGATCATTAAAAGTACTGTTTGATAAAATATATACCAATTCAAACCGTTGACCAGCTTTTTGTACTTTGTTTTTGAAGAAAAAAAAACATGAGTAAATCAGTAGTAGAACTTTAAACCGATCCAGAAGCGGAGGCCAAGTAGAGAAGTTTTTAAAAATTCTAAAATAATTTCTGAAAAAATGTTTTTGTTTCTCTCTGAAGGTCATGACTTTTGTTTGTTCGTGGTCTTTCTAAAACGGAAGTACATATAAATAGCTAGATGATTTCATAGTAAACGCTAAAAAGCATTTAGGGGCAGGGGCGTAGAGAGGGCTCAAAAGCAGGGAGGGGGCGACTTAAAATTTTCCTGTTAAATAATGTTGTGTTCCTGTTACAAAATTACTACGAAAAAACTACTACGCAGGAGAAGAAGATTTATCATATTCTGCTGCAGAAAAAGCAAACATTTTCAAAAGCAGGAGGGGGGTTTCATCCCCTCTTCCCCGCGGTCGCTACGCCCTGTTTAGGGGCATCCTCAGCCGTGACGCTCCAGACGAAAATAAAACATTTCAAATTTGAATATATATTATTTTTTCTCCTATTATTATCCTGCATTTATCCAATGAGATTCGATTTATTCTCCTCGATTTTATGATAGATATTAAGGCTAAAATTTTGATTGATCCATTCATGTGGAAGAAATGAATAATATATGCTCTCTCTCTCTCAACAAGTATCTATTGCAATGCAAATTTTATTTACCAATGATCGAACAGATTGTGGTTGTTAATAATAGAGAGAGAGGATAATGATCTGTTGATAATCCTTGTTGTACATGCGCGCACCCATATACACACGCACATCTCACGGTTTGACTTTTTCGCTTTTCGATCTATGAGAAAGGTTCTACTTCACTGACTTGTACATGTGCTGTACAAGATCGTGTCGACATTTAGGTATCTCTTATTCATGTCTGGGTAAGTGTCAATTCAACTATTGTCAATGATGAACAGTTAGATACATACACAAACAAATTAGAAACAAGTACTGATAAGCACAAGTCTTACTAGAGTATTAACCATTATAATGAAAAAAAACATTTACTGAATAATGATTTTTACTATAGGGAACAGATTCAAGTATGACAAAAGTTCAACGGGCTTTGTTGACGGTGAACAAAACAGAATTTAGATCATTTACAGTATCTAAGTCTACAAGCATTGGCGGGTCGCCAACAGAATAATTAGAGAAAAATATAAAGGGAAGAATTATGGGTCACAGCAGTGTGTTTTCTTAAAATTCGAAATAAAACAAAAAAGAACAATAAAAAATTACGTACATACGTCTCTGGAAAGTACGTTTTTGCAAGTACCACTCTAAAAAGTTTATTTACTCCTCCCCTCGCCCTCTCAGCGCGCCCATATCTACGAGATTCAGGTTAAACATTTTAACCCATTAAGTACTAGATTTTTAAATTTTGATTTTTCTGAATTTTTCTGCATAAAAAGATGTATAACTACATCTATAACATTAAGCGTAATGGGTGATCGGACTTTTCTTCCAAAAAAGCTGAAATTAAGTGAATGTTTGATGGTCGTTTTTTTTTACGAACCAGACGGACCAGTCTGAATGATCAATTTAATGTATCTTCCAATAAAATTGATCCTTTTGGCCCGTAAAAAAACAACCACCGAATGTTTCTTTTTTTCCATAAGAAATTTGATTTTAGTACCACTGCACGCTAATATTGTCCTTTTTCACCATCTCATTCCAAGTATTTGTCGTTGAACTAATAATAATATAATTCAACACTAAGAGCAGAAGAAAACGTAAAAAACATTCTGTTTTGGGAGTAGTATGGCCTACGATTATTACTTTTGTGCGATATATTTTTTTTGTTGAAAATACTGAAATTATTTGTTTACGACTGAAAAACGAAAATATTCAAAAAACGAGCGTCATCTCGCCCTCCCACGGAATATTTATGTTGCTGTAAATCTTATGGCTTTCTTAGGAAAATAATATAAGAAGAAAGACACTCTTTTTTACATCATATTTTAAAACTTTGTATCTGCATACTATCATGAGCTTGAATAAAAAAAAAACCTAAAGAAGTTTATTTCTATCTACCACTATCTTCCTCGAAAAAAAATACAATCGCACGCTTAACTGATTTGTTCGTTTAATATTAAAATATCGACACATGCTTGACGTCAAATAGATACTTTAGATGGATGAATATATATTACATTACCTATCGATATATACACCTATTGTTTCTGATAGTTTTAGACGAATAGGACAAAACGAAGAAAATAGAAAACGTTAAATAAAAATGTACATTTTTTATAATGCGTTTGATGAAAAGAGAGAGAGAGAGAGAGAGAAAGAGAGCGTATATTGATGTGATTATGTGTATGTATTAGAGTATACAGTAGCTAATCGTATAATCAAATCGCATTTGTGTAAAATATTTTTACAAGTAGGTGACTGTTTGAATTTAATTTTGTTGGATCGAGTAAATGAATCAATGATTATTGTAAACAAATAATAAGGCGAATAACAATCGATAAAAAGTGAACTGTATGGGGTTGTGCTCCCTATTAATAATTATAATTGTCGAAAATATTATTGGTATGACATATAAAGCATTTATAAATTAAAGTTAAAGTAATTTATTTATTATAATAGAAAAAAGTTACACCTGTTAAAATATAATTTTTTCATTTATCATTTATTAATAGTCATGCTTTTCTCAGTACAATCAAAAAATATTCAATTTAACATATTATCCTAAGTAGATCTAAGATAGATTTTTATGTACTATTTACTACGATTATTATAAAATAGATCAAAAGTATAAAGCAATAGTCAGTCATTCGGATTTACTCATTGTCTAAATTCATCAGGCTAATAAATAAGTAGTTTTTCGAAGTGAGTAATACCAAAGTTTTTCATTTAATTAAGTTAAATTACTATCATATAAACGTTTATCGTCCTGAATTGTACGGATATTTGAAAAAACTAAAAATATTACAAGTACTTTTTAAGCAATGTAGGAACTTCCATAGAAGTATCCTTCACATTTAGACAAAATTAATATAGGTGAAATTCTTCTTCATTAATGCAATCAAACTGAGTACTTTTTTTTTTTCGCTCTTATTTTTTTATACTTTAATGACAAATGTATAGTTGAACGAGTGGGAAAAAGTAATATTTTCCGTTTATTTAGGTGAGTTTTCATATCAACATGATATTGTTATACATTCGGCATCGATAATTGATATTAAACATAGACAAGCACAAGTTGTTTGTGTGTCCTTCAAAATTTTTTTTAATAAGAATAATTATTGAGTTCTTTAGTAATGAGATGAGTGGTGTTTAAGTAGGATACTCGTACAGCACTCATTGTACGTACAGTAAAAGAAATATATATATATATTTCTATATTTCAGGTTAATGATTATGCGGGTATACATATACACAGAGGCTTATGCATGATTTATCATCAAAAGGTAAGAACTCCATGTAAATGAGCATATTAAATAGGCCAGTATTTATCTCTATAGAGAATGATTCTTCATCAATTTTGTAATTTATATCTAGACATTATTTTTCTAGTTAGAGTTTTTCCAATATGAAATTTCTATATAAATTATTTATCATTATTGTGTTTTGTTAGAGGAAAGTGATATATCTTTCATTTCTCTCTCTCTCTCTCTCTCACTAAACTTACCATCTTCGAGAGCCTGTCTAATTACCTTCTCCTTTTTTCAGATTTGTATAATTAAATTTTCTTTTACATTAGTAAAAAATTTGAAAGTTACAAAATTGGTAGGTCTATAACTCTTGCTCTAAGGTAGACTACTAACTTCTAACATACAATCGCACTAAAAATACCTATCTTTAATTGGATATTGTAATTTCTTTTCTTCTTTTTTTAAGATCTTCAACTATCCGTGGAATCATTTTCATTTGATAGTGAGTATCATTGATCAATCTCTCTTTTGGCTGTTGATAAACAAATAAGATAAGAACATTAGACAAGAATTACTTTTTGAAATCTTCCGTTATTGATGCTAAATGACAGTTTTTCTATTAGTTTTTTTTTCTTTTGTCAAATAGAGAAAAAGCTTATCACTGTAAAAACTGATTAATTTAATTAAAATAATCATATTTTTCACTCTCCCACTTGGCTGAAATCAAAAAGCCTTAGAAAAATGTTTTGTCTCTCTTTGATCCCAAAGGAATGAATTATTATTACCATTCTTAGAACATCAATGTTTTTTTAAATAACTTTCATTTAGAACCAGAAAAACATCCTTATTTAAATAAGATAATAGAAAGATAATTTGTTGGTAGTAAAAAAAAGATGAGAATAGAGTTGTTAGAGGAAAAAGATTTTTACGTTTTATTTTTACACTCAGAGTATAAACGTCTAGATGAATGTGTTACATTTAAATGCCTCATTTGATGTATAGAATTATTTTAGAAGGTATGTTAATAATGATCAAGATAATTAAAAATTGTTTATTTACTCTTATATAAATTTTTTTACACATCATTAGTCTTTCTTATCAATTACAAAGTGTGACTATAATCTATGTGTTTATATGTTATCGTTAACGGTGTACACCAACTCAAATGCGTTTTTGCATAGTTAAATTTGAAATTTTTTCGATAATATTTTAAATATTTAAAAATATAAATCAAATTTTTATATAGGTCACAGTGGAGTAAACCAACTTGGTGGTGTTTTTGTAAACGGGAGTAAGTTTCTAAAGTTATTTAATTGAATTTTTTTCTTTTCATTATTTCCATTTGAATATTCTAGGACCATTACCAGAAACCATTCGACAAAAAATCGTTGAACTGGCTCGTCAAGGTGCTAGACCTTGTGAAATATCACGCAAATTACAAGGTACTCTAATTCTGATATTTCTTGTATTTATAATATAACTTATTCTAGTTTTATTCTAGTTTCAAACGGTTGTGTGAGTAAAATTCTTGGAAGATTTTATGAAACTGGTTCAATTAAACCTCGTGCCATTGGTGGTTCGAAGCCTCGTGTAGCCACACCAGATGTTGTATTAAAAATTGCTCAAATAAAAGGTGATAATCCATCGATATTTGCTTGGGAAATTCGTGAACGTTTATTAAATGACGCTATATGTACACAGGATAATTTACCAAGTGTAAGTTTTATCATTACAATAAACTAATAGCCGTTTTATCTGATTATCACATGATATCTAGGTATCATCAATTAATCGTGTACTTCGAAATTTATCGTCGAAGTCAAGTGACCTTTATACAAAAGAATTACATTATGATCGACATTGTTTAATAAATCCACCAATATGGTCGATGATTGGCAATACACCACCTTGGCACCAACAACAATCAACACCATCTCTTATTAAAACAAAAGATATAAAAGGTAAAAGTAACAGCTATGACAGCTATTTAAGAAAATGGTAGAGAAGAATTTTATGTCCGTCAAATTACAAGTATTTCTTTTTTATTTCATTGGAGAAAAATTGTCTGATTCTTCCAAGCAGGATCAAGACGAGAATGGCAGCGACGATGAAGAGAGTGACAATGAATATTTAACATCACCAAGACAAAAAACACAACGAAATCGAACAGCTTTTACCCAAGATCAGATAACAGCACTTGAAAAAGGTTTGGCATCTATAAAATTAACATATATGAGCTAACTACTTTTTATGTCATTTAGAATTTGAGCATACACATTATCCAGATGTTTATGTGAGAGAACGTCTTGCTAAACATATTAGTCTACCGGAAAATAGAATTCAAGTAATTTTAAAAAGGATTTCTTTTCAACCAGTATATGAAACATGTTTCTGTTATTTTTTCAGGTATGGTTTTCTAATCGTCGAGCAAAATGGCGTCGTGAAGAAAAATCGAGAAATCAACGACGTAATGTGAATACAAGTGAATCAAATCCTGTTTCCAACACAGGATCAACAATTACTACTGATCATTCGACACCACCTTCATCTATAAATCAAACACCACCACCACCACCACCGTACACAATTGAAAGTGTGAATGAAGTTCTAAATCCCTATTTCAATTCAAATAATACAGTATCAGCATCAACAACATCGAAAGGTTTTGCGTATCCATCAATGCAGTCATCGTATCAGTATTCAACATCGTCATACCCATGTATATTACCAGGTAATAATTCTTGAAAAATTCCACTTAGACTCAAAAATTGTTCCTATTTACATAATAAACCAGAATAAAGTAAATAAGGATCCAATAATTTTTATAAAACTATATACTATAGATTATATTAGCCATACTCTATCTTTTATAGGAACGAATTGTTACGAAGATCTTTCATTTCCTACTCCACCCTACTCTCGACCAACATATCAAGAGTACAATCATCTTTCTTCGAATGTTATGTGTCAGTCATGTGAGTTTGGTGGATTATAATTAACTTAAATTCAAATATTTTCTGTCTTTAGCCTTTATGCATAGTCAAATACCGCTTCCAACACATATTCGCTCAAATAATCAAACTCCTACGTTTTGGAATCGGTTTTAAATGATAGAAAACAAATAAACAATTTTATTTCTTCAAATTTCCGATTAATCCTTTGCACTTTAACCGGTTCATTTTTTCTTTTGCTTAGCGGCAAAAACAACGATTTTTTTTCCTATCGTTTGTAGATAACTTATAATTTGTGTGATTTTTCTTGCTCTTTTTCATATAAAATGTGATAGTTATTTCATTCTCGAAAAAAATAAGATTAACTTAACAGTTAATAGTGAGAAAGGATGAAAAATTAAAAAAATTAAAAACAAGAAAATTTTTCATCATTAAACATATGAAAAATAAACTTGTCCGATAGGGTGCAATTATGATCAACTGAAATGTTTATAAGTAGAACTTTTCTAAAGGTAGATTAGATCTTGTACTGCGAATAGCCCTTTCTGTATCTTCAAAGAGTAGAAAATAGTTCGAAAGAATCTTAGAATATAGAATGAATATTTCATAGATCGGAAAAATTTTGAAATATTGTTTTCTATAGTGTATATTTTAATTTACGTTAAGTAAAATATATTTGAATATTAATATCAGTTTTTATGTAGAAACAGTACATCTGTCATTATATTAGAAATACAACAGAGATAATCTCTGTTCTTTGACTTTTTTGTTAACTATAATTGTTGAAAAATCACAATAATAATTACTACTCTTTTATTGTAAATATCGTTTATTGTTTTTAAACTTGAATCAATCTTTAATATCTATTTGAAAGAATAAAATGTGTATAGTCTCTCTACATCATTGATCAGCGTTTTAAGTTATGTGTATGTGTTTATTGATATTGGCTAATCAAGCGTTAATCTCTTATTGACTGTCAAATGGATCGTTAAGTGAACAACAATAACTGTTACCTGTCTGTGCATGTCTTTTCAATATTTTGACAATAGAATAAGTTGAAAAGTCTTAAATGATAATCGGTATATGTATTATTGAAATGAAACAACAACAAGATAAGACATAAAAACAAATGAAGAGTTAAAACAGTGACATCTGAGAACAAACTTTTATTTTTCTGTTACGGTTGGTCTAACAAAAAGCTTCTAACTGACAATATATTGAAATTTCATCGTTGATATAATTAGAGAAAAACGAACTTGTTTTGTTTCTTTGAACTTTGAGTACATTTATTTTGAGATCAACTTATAAAGGACTCGCCTTATAACATTCAAAATCTTCCCACCTCGGCAGTCATTTTTGACTAGGCACGTGGACACATTATCGGGAATGATCGTTTTTGACTCAGAGTGGCTCTCTATACCTTAAAATAGTGTTCTCGCAAGAAAAAACTTTTTAGTTTTTTAATCAACAATGAAGACTGCAGATGAAATTTTTTGATATGAAGAAAAATATCCTAAATGTTTGAAAAATACATTGATGTGGTTTACTACGTTGATTTCGAATATTAATATATTTGATATATCGAATAATTGTTTTTATCAATAGCATTTTCTAGTTGAGAAAACTATGTTTTTAGTCTAATTTTTAGCCAAGTATTTTTCCCATGATAACTCCATTTTCAATTCTTATGCCAATAAATGACCCATATATCGAAATATATTTTTAACCAATTAAAACTGAAAAAGTTTAAGTTCGATTTTTCGATTACATGTTCACATGAATGTCCGCTATGCATTCCATATTCTTACACGTTCGCGATTTCTGCTATATACCAGAAGCGATCACTTGTAGACTGAGACAAGCTTTGAATCCTACTCCGACATCAGTGTTTGGGTTCCGCTGGTTACAGAACCCTAATTTTTAATGACAACTCTGCATTGTTAAAAGAATTCTGAGAAAAAATAAATCTGAATTTCGAATCTCTTCTACTATTATGGACATAGTGAATCAGTGATCTCATTCGAGAAGCGAACAAGAATAATATTTTTTTTTGAAAGAGGCATTTCTGTTTTTGTAATATATATTGCCAATTCTTTTATCATTATTATTTATGCAGAACACTAGGAAGAAAATGGATAAGTTTATCCGGACTTTTTCAAATTTTGAAGATTAAGCTAAAAGATATTTAAGTAAAGATCCTTAACGTTTTTCGAGTTTATGGGCAAAGTTAAGAATATAAATTTTAAAACCAATGCGGCTATCATGTTAAGAATTTTAATAAAAAGTTTTAATCAAATAATAAAAATTAAACAATTAAAACTAAAACATTAAAATTATAATTCGGTATTTATTTATTAAAATTCTTAACATCATAACCGCATTGGTTTTGAAATTTTTAAAGATCCTTAATATCAAAAGAAAGAAATGATGCATTTGGATGCATAGAAAGTTCACAAAATCGGCGAAAACGAACTTGTATTGACTTTAATTCAACAGATAATAGTAATATTACAACTGAAATCATATCGAAAGAAGCTCAACATTTAAAAACCGACAGATATGCTCTAAAAGTCTAAAACAACGACGAACTGTTTATTGGAACTATTTTAAGAATCAACAAATATATCGGTTGTATACACGATGGGTGAATTCAGAACCACCCATCGGGTGATAATTTGGACAGAATGAATATTTTCTAAAAATAAACGAAAATTGAAAATATTTATTTTAACACGAATCGATTGTGATAGGTACGAGGATCGCTTTTAAAACATCGGTCAATAATCTGATGAAGAGACTGAGGAAATGAAAATTTTAATTAGTAGAGGATAGTATCTTAGGATATTATAGAGAAATTATAGATAAGACGAACATTTTTATAAATCTCTAATATTTGCCTACTTTTGATATTTGGAATTGTACTCAGAGACTGCGGAACGTTTTTGGGCGAGGCAAGGCTCAGGCTTGTGCCTTTCAAAACCTCCAACAGAGGGGGGGGAAGTTTTCGAAAAAACAATTTCGCTAATGCGTTTTCCATAAAGTATTATATTATTGCTTGGCTATCTGGTATGAACAGCAAATTCCGTGTAAAACAGTGGAAAAACGAAATTAATTTTTTCATATTAAGGCAAGGATCAGCCCAACGCGCCTATGATTGTACTATATCAGCGGTTATGTCATTAGGTTAAAGATATTCTTCAGCCGATCGTAGTACAAAAAATGTAAATCCAATTGTTGAATAATAAGTTCTACTAATGAGTTTTGTGGTAGTATAAAATGATTTTAATGCTTTTAGCATTTTATTAAGAGTATTCCATGAATTCTACATTACGAATAACAATAATTAGAGACTACCCAAGCACGGAAAAAGCATCGAGCATCCCAGTAGTCAGTTTACCGGTCTATGTATCTAGATGCAGATAAATGTTTCTCTAGATGCAACTAGATAACATTGCACATGAATTGACATTTGCTGGGTTTAACTTGATGCATGTAGATGTGTTGAGCAATACATCGAGCAATGCAGCTAGCTGACTCAATGCTTAGTCAAGAGCATCTAGATAAAAGTAAAGGATATTGACCCATACGCCAGCTAAAGTCACTAGACTGTTTTTGCAGGTCTATTTTTGCTTGGGTAGACATTTCGAATAACAATAATTTCTTTCGTTGTTAAATCGACTTTTATTTTAGGCGAGAATAATTCATTCAAAATATTTTTATGCGAATCAACTATTGTTAAGATAGAATACGTTGAATTCCATCTTGATCGAGTATCTATAGTCAAACTACAATTTATTTTTCTTTAGTTCGTTTCATTAAATTGCAGGCATTTTTTCTCAACAAACGATGTTAATATCTACGGATGTTTGATGACCATTTTAAACTTCAGCTTTTTAAAGCAAAATTGAAAATAATAAACTTACTTCAACTTTAAATTAAAAGTTAATCTTACTTAAAGTTAAAGGTGACACCTCTAGAATGGAGAAGCTAACAGAGGATATTTACGTATCGCTTCCCGTATATGGATAATACACAGGTCTGGAGTTTGTCGTATTTTACTAATAACTTCGAGTTAGATGCTTGGCATTAGCGGTATTTCATCTTCGGTTTGAAATGCTGAGAACGGTTTTATGTTATGACCATTAAAACATTCAATAGCGAATAAAGTTCGTATACCTGTTGTTCCTAAATACATAGGGTGTTTAAGTACATGGATTGACGATGAACAGGAGCTAAATGACAACCATGCGTAAAATTTGCCAATTTCATAGTCAAAACTCAAGTCAAGTAGGCGAATTACGAAACTACTCTTGCAACATAGCATTCAAAGCAGTTTCCAGTATCTCTGATTTTGCCGGTTCCGATTCTAATAGGAATCGGATATGTCACTGAGCGAAGGGTGGGAGAGAAATCAAGAAACCGCTATTATGCTACTCCATCGAGAAAAATGACTACTCCACGAGAATTTTGTGTCAGACCAAACTTTTAGGAGATACTGATCTTGTGGAAGTATGGTGACGAAATGTTTTGTTTGGATCCATCTAGCATGGTTTGTGAGATGCCGCCACAACAGTGAGAAAAATGTGACTATTCGTAGCTGCAAGATTTCTCAGTAACGAAACGTTGTGGAGAGCTCGGGCTAGTCTTAAGTTGACGAAAACACATGTGGCTGGAGCATAATAGAGCCGGGTTTTTGATATTTTACTTTTCAAATTAATGGTCAGCGTCAACAAAATTCGGAAAAGTCTCATTAATTTGTATAACGATATTTTTCTAACCACAAATCTAGACCGAATATCAAAAATCAGGCTCTATTAGCATCCAGCCACATGTGTTAGCTTCAATTTAAGACCTTCCCAAGCTCTCTGCGATGTTTCGTTACCGAGAAATCTTGCAGCTACGAAATGGTGTTAAGGTGAAAGTCGCTTGCGAGATATATATCTCGAAAGACTAATCCAATATAACGGGGGACTCATAAAGAATGTCCATCTCAGTATTTTGCTTATAACTTGGTTTGGATTTTTTTTCGAGACTCGATGTTTTTTTTAAAAGTGCGTTGCGAAATTCTCTACAAAATAATACCTAAACTATAATTTCAGAACTTCAATCAAGAAAACTAAGCCAATTAGGTGAAAGTCGAAAAAAATGTAGACTTCCTAAACTCAAAATTTTTTTCGACTTGAACTTTCCGCTAAAAAGTGTAGCAAAAGTGAGAACTCAGTTTACGTTTGGTACTTTCAAATGTGCTCGTTCTCGTAGTCTGTAAAAAAAGCTTGTTTAGAGCAGACGGTGTGCTCGAGAATGAAGTTACAAAAATACATCAAAAGTCGACAACCTGCTCGTTTCCAACAATGTGCTCAATCAAGAAACTTAAAAGATGATTGTAATTTGGTTTTGCAGTTAGATAGAGAAGAGCGATCATTTCTGATCAAAACAAAGCAAATCCGACCGAAAAAGCTTGTATTCTGATGGAGTTATGTGGCTTTTACTGAAAGCACTACTATACCCAAAATTTAGAAAATTAATGAAAAAATGCAAGACAACCGATAGAAAAACTATTATTTCGCTGTGGCTTTTGATGTGAAAAAATTTGAAGTGTAGCTACAAGATAGAGCAAAGTCAGGGCTGCAAAATGGCTAGTTCAGTTTTTCTTACTTTCAAAAGGTTAATACACGACATCATTTTTGATTTTAGGAAGTTTACATTTTTTCGACTTTCATCTAATTGGCTTAGTTTTCTTGATTGAAGTTCTGAAGGTATAGTTTAGGTATGATTTTGTACAGAATTTCGCAACGCATCTTTTAAAAAAACATCGAGTCTCGGAAACAAACCCAAATCAAGTTATAAGGAAAATACTGAGATGGACATTCTTTATGGGTTACCCATTATATGTCAGACTAATCAGTTAATTACTCTGTTAAACAGCGCGCTTATAAATCTGCTTGTCGAGACTGCCTTCGTTTGTGTAATACTTCTGACAGAGTTTAGTCACATAACTGCAAGTTTATGCACTTCAACTGATTAGTGTTCTGCATTTTAAATATATTTGTTTTATTGAACTGTACAGTATACTACTGTTATTTTAAACAGCCAGCCGCGATAAAAACAAAAACAAAAACTAAAAAAAACAGCGAAAGAATAATTATAAAAAAACTGTGTACAAAAAGCTAAAATGCATTATGTATCTGATTCAGTTAACATTGTTTGGTCCTCATGACGGAATACTTCATTGACGGTGCGACGCCTGTGATGTTGTTGTACAACTTGATTTCTTACTTGAACATGTGGCAGTAAGTTCAAATGATTATAGGTTTGACCTGTTGGTAAAGGATTTGTTGATTGACTGTGCCGAATGATCGACATGTCATGATTCGTTTCCGGTGGTACTGGCCAGTGGCTACTTGTCGCCGGTAACTGGTCAGGATAACGATGTTCAAGATAATTCTCTTGTTGATCAATTAATTCTCGACGGAATCCGATTGCTGCTTCGTAATCATCGGACTGTCTCATCACAATTCCTTCAAAACCGATGGCATTCATTGGTTTTTGTGATCGACTAGGCACAGGTGGAGGATGTTTATTATTAGAATTCTCTCTAATTGTTCCATAATTTGATTGTTGACAAAATCGCATATTAAAATTATTTGTATCGAGACCCATCGTTGCGCATTTATTCAACATATCATCAGATCGTCGAATATTATTCGAAAAGTGGATTGGTGGTGACGGAGGAGGCTGACTAGGTGGTGGAGGGAGACCGTTATTTGTTCGTCTTAATGTTGTATTAGGTGTTGTGACTCGTAACTGTGAACGATTCAATGTTCGATCTTTCGGTTGAGGTGAATCGCCGTAGCCTTTATTGTTAAATGCCATTCTTTCTCCATCGTCTACTGTTGATATGTCAGCATTTCGTAGAGGACGTATCGGCGTTTCATTTGAACTTAACTTACTGTCAGCTGTTTTTCCGGATGACGATGAAGCCGAGGACAGAGCGGGTGATACTGGTAGTACGTAAACGCCGTTGATCTTTTTTCGAAGATCATATGGAGCACGAGAACGCGACAAACTTCGGACGTGCCTGTCAGAATCTGGCAATCTTATATCATTTGATATTAAATGAGAGGGAAGAGAATCGATATGATCATCTTGTGGGCCAGAGTGATGAAAACGTTGATGCTTTTTATTCGGAATCACTGGTGAGGACATTTGTCGATGTCGTTTCGTTGCTGGCGTTTCATCGCTGTTACTTGTGTTTTTTAATGTGTGTGATCGTTGTTCGTGTGGTAATGTGGATGTTGGTGGCATCAATGCCACTTTTTCCGTTTCTAAACAAACGAAACAAAAAATTGAAACGAATTTTCACGCACACACATTGCTGTAGGAGGACGAACAAATCAAAAATGTTTTGGTTTTTGCTCGTCAGAGCTTCATATGGACTCAAATTTGAAGACTGATGCTAGTCTTAGAGATCGTCCACGTTTTTAGAACGATCCTTTACCGGCCCTTATAGATGGCGAGTATAGAGCCTTATGCATTCGAAAAAAGATATCTATTTGCACGTGCTCATTTATGAGAAAGTTGTATAGTTATAATCACTGAAGATATAAACGGTTTCCTCGTGAACCTTAAACTTACTGGTGTTCCGGTATGTTTCTATAAGCAACAGCCTTGTTATCTGTCATAAAAATGTCAGTGATCTGTATCCTAGTAGATCTTTCTAGACTTATTGTTACAAGTATTGTCTTTCTCATACACAGTTTCGATCTGGTAAAAGAAAAAGGATAATAAAAGAACTCGCTAAATTGAACCTAGTTTCTAAAATGAAGCATTGATCTATTTAAACGTATTAGTGCAGCTAATTGAACCTTTTTTCTTTATTACTTTCCACTTATCCTCAATTCTTCATAAAATATTTTTTCTTTTTTTCTTTCTCATATTTGTATGATTAATCACATTTGGTTATACATAGACTTGTTATTAATTCGAGATCGGTAATTGTCACACATAGACACAATAAAGGAACATTTTTTATTGTCCTTTATACTCATTCATACACTCACTATGATATTCAATGCCATATATATATATATATATATATATATATATACATATATTCACACGATATGATTATATACGGGCTTCTCTAAACAGTTTTCAGGTCACACAACTACAGAGAACACGTACACACTCAGTGATTGTCGATGCTTTGTGTAGGATTTCATTACTTTTTGTTTAATGTTATTACACATGCATCCAATTTAGTTCTGAGAGAAAAAAAACAATTTGTCTATTAGAATTCATTGAATTTTACTTTTCATTGCCAATCACAAGAAAAATGTCTACAGATTACATTGCAATACCGTGACGTCTACAAAGACATTGATCACAAGGTTATAGATATCTCATGACCAACGTACATATATTATCCAATTAAAGCTTATTCGTATGAATATCTTTCAATTAATTTCGACACCATTCTTTCCTATCAATCTTAGTTTTAAGAAGTTATCATAGTGACAAAATAGGTTTCGTTGAACTCAACGTCACATGAACTATTTTCGAGTATTTGTTCTATAAGATAGCCGAAATAAAGTTCAAAGGAGGAAATTGTTGACAAAAAAATAATGAGGATCATTTTTTTTTTGAATTCTTATATGAATTCCACTCTATTTGTTCAGATTTAAAAAAATAAAATCATTGTTAAAAGAATTTTTCAAATGTTTTATTACGCAATCCATTACATAATAAATACTCGCACACATAGAAATGTGTAAAATACTTCTATTGCCAAATAGAAAAAAAAGTGTCTAACAATTTCGGTGGCTTCATCTTTTTGATTGTGAACGATGAACGGTGAAAGTTCAATGAAACTTTCAGCATCAAACTTCAAATCTCAATATCATATGGACAAAAGGGTTTTAGTATTCAACGATGGTATGATCTATCTTTTAAATACAAAATGTTTTTCTACTTACCATTTGATGGACATAGTGTGTAATAACAGTATCTAATACAAGCAACAATTGCTGAAAATAATAATAGACCAATCACAAAGGAACCGATCCAAAATGGAATTTTATAATGTAGTTGACTACCATCAAATGAGTCTAAACGAGTAAAAAAATTAACAATGAATGTGAAAGTGTATGTCCATTATACAACTTACCCTCATCATCCAGTTCATTTCCGTTATTATCCTTTGATGTATAATTACGCAAAACCGCGCTTAGATATTGATCCATTATCAAACAGACAACACATGACACTATTTACATATCTAGAATAAAAGTAATATCGAATAATTACTTATGAAAATTTTTTCTACAAATGAAAATATGATGAAAAGTAAAGACGAAGCATGTGAAAAGTTGTTTTCATTAAAATAATTCCGGAAATAGTTCGAATATAGGAACTTTTGTTATAGAAAACTTGTACGAATGATGATGGATTTATATATAGAACGATAAAACCCCATTCAAAATCCAACGAAAAATTGTTTCTATTGGATTTTTAAGAAATATAGTTCCACGCTTTTATTCTACTATTAATCTATGTAAGAGTGAAATAAAGAAAGAAATATGTAAAAAAGTCAGGATTTATGTGAATTAAATACATTCGTATGTTACATAAAATAAGTAGACTAAGATAAGATATAAGATTTATCTACTATCAGTTTTTCTTATATGCAATATCAAATAAGATGTGCACGATGTGACCCATATCAGGGGTTTTAAATGCCCTTTTGATAGAGCAAAGGAAAATAAACCCAGTATTCTAGACATTATACCTGAAATACTATGTATCAACAAAACATATCTCCAGATGACAAGGAAGAAGTTAAATCATTAAAGTATTAGAACCATGATCTGTAGACATCACTTTATACTAATCATATGGTTTTTGGATTTGTAAAACGAAAATAGATTTTGTCGAAATGTTCGCTTGAAGTGTCTCTTCGATGATTCTACTAAATTTTCAAATCGTTTTTTTGATGTATAGAAGCTAGTAGCCATATAAATAATATATACTGATTGTGTATTTAACACTTTAAAGGTTTAACTTCTTCCTACTAATCTGACCATATGCATATGAAGATACCGACAATAAAAATATAATATAATTTGAAGATCAATTCTATTGTCTATACGAACCGTCTTTTTAATCACAATTGACTCGTTCAATTATTCAATATTAATTAAATTCTATGAATTGTCTAAGAAACATCATCGAATAACAGTTACCTATTTTTATATAATATATAAATTTATCCTTTAATAATAAAAATACTATGAACGAAATAAGAAATCAAGTCTAGACATATATGCTGATAGCATTTATTCTGCTGCATATGTTTGTGTGTATACAACTATCCTGTCATGTCAAAAAATCAAGCCATGCATGTTCAATTCTATTTCTTAATATTACAATAGTTCCGTATATATAGCAGTTCGACTTTTTTTTTCTACAATAAAGATAGAACAATAACAAAACAATGATGATGTAATTATATATATATGTACATAGAAGAAGAAAAAGAGGTATATATATATACTCAGTTGTGTAATTAAAGTTTAAATAATTCGTTTCTTTTTCCAGACAAATTATGACAAAAAAAAAAAAGAAAGCACCCTCCCTATATTCTAAAAATTAAATTTACTCTATTAATATGACATTGAATATATTTCTCTCTGTATATTTGTTCAATTTTTTAATGTACAAAACGATGTTGAGAATTAAAAACTGTGATTAAGTATTTTTGTGTTCAATTGCTATGATAAATGAGGGAGGACTAGAATGTTTTCTCTTTTCTTTCTTTCTTTCTTTTTTTCTTTCTATTATTCTCTATAGAGATGTAGCTAGTTTAGATATACAGTGAAATTATTTTTTCTGTTTTTTTTTCTTCTTTATTTTTTTAATATTATAGATCGATCCGAACACCACGACAGTATACGACGACAAGATTAAAGACATTTTGTATTCTATACTATACGTATTAGTAAAATATTGGTTATTGATTATAATATACTATTGACCTGGATGAATTAACGGGCGTTTATATCAACACTAAATGTATTTTTCTTGAAGGTTTTTCTTTCTTTTTCTTATCCTTCCATATATGCATACTGAACATGTGCATACACACTGTACATCTCATATCTCTAGTAGAATAAATAAATAAATATAACAAAAAAAAAAAAAAAATCATTGAAATACTTAATACGAATAACTGAAGAGATTTTTGACTAAAAGATATCTCATCTTTAAGTATCTGATTAAAAAAATTTATTGTCAAAATATAAGAACTACAAAGTTTGTGAGATAATGTGTATTTGTATACAGTTCTTCTAGGTTCTTCATCTACTAAATTAAAATGACACTATAAATCGGCGTCTCAAACTCGTAGATGACATTCTTCTTGATTATTTTTTTAGTAAACGAGTGCTCAAGTGTCTGATATAAATTAAGGAAAAAACACAAATTTAAAAATGCGTCAAATATCTTTTTTTTGTTGTTATTTCTGTTTATAACAAAATGATGAGAAGCACGATTTAATTCATGAGATATCCGTATCAACATGCAACTACAACTTCTTTCAGCCTAGGATATTACCTGTTTATTGTTGTGTACTAAGAAAATATGGCATTAAGTAGGCGTATGACAAAAAGTGTTATTCTTTTTCAAATGAATCTTTATATATGTTCAAAAGGAAATGGATTTTATTTGTCTTTGTTTGAACATAGGTTATAGAGAGAATTGTGGATAATGAATATTATTTTAAGCGAAAGGAAATATTGGAACACTTCATCCTTTTCATTTTCTTTTTTCTTTTTGAGCTACCGTATTATGACACATCATATACATATACACTCTTAGTTATTAAGGATATGTACATAGTTATACTAAAATGTGTTTGATGTATTCTACATGTGTATGTTTTGTGGATATACGTAGATGATGATCAACAATACTGAGTACAATGGTTATTCTAAAGAATTTATATAATGGTATTAAATAGAAGAGAAATTTTATTCTCATACTCTTTATTCGAGTGCATATAATACTGAACTTTCTCGATTTAAGATAATAAAACTTGTAACAAGAAGTTCATTTTCATGTATGAATATCAAGTATCTTATACCAAGAGATCCAAAATTTTCTCTTTTTTTATTATGAACTCAAAGAAATATTCAATATGGATGGATACAGTAACTATTCGACACATATAACTTCTAATTCTATTATACATTGTATTTGGCATGCATATCTCGAAAGATTATGCTCATTGCATTTCAGATTTCACGTGAGAGATTTGATTACAGTAATCGTGCATCAGTTATGATTAACCTGAACGTGTTTACAGTTATAACCATCAATTATCGAATCGTGAATCGACAAAGATACACATTCAATTTTTAAATAGTAACTATTACAAATTCTCTAGCTCTAATATAGAATGTATGATACATCAACTCACTACGGTTCATTTGTTGGTATATACTTAACGTGTTAGAAGAAAAATTTATTATTTTCATTGTAACCTCAAAAAATGTTCGGAGACCTACAACTGATGGTCAACGATATTGTTATTAATAGTTATATTTTATTTGATCTTCATCATATTTTTTAATACATTTTTTGCTCGAAAATATCACACATTACAATTGTTATTATTATTATTAAGTAGAAGAATGTCTACTACGAAATAATTATAAATTATTTTATAAATTGATTGTTACTATAACTCAAATCTTGAGCGATCAAACGTATATATTAATTATCTGATGCCTTTCTTCATTTTTTCGAAGGTTATCTGACTACGAGATGAGTGGATTTTTTTTTTTCTACTCTTAAGACAGCTGAACTTTTATCAATAAGAGCCTTGTCTTATATTGAACTCGATTATATCCACGCAAGTAATGATATAAGTTCAACACATACATACCAACATACTATCCGTTAGATATATATATATATACTTTTTCCAGTATATAAACGATGATGTACACTCACCTCTTTTCTCTTCTCCTTCGTCTTTTGTCTCTTTACATTTGGTCCAACGATTACACTCTCTCTAAAATTTGTGTAATAGATTGCTGGTATTGTATGATATATTTTTGGTCATTCTTTACAAGATGATAGTTGTAGAAACAGAACAAAAATTTCTCTGTTATATATATATCAGAATACCCTATAGAGTATTTTTTCCTTCTTCCTTTGTTCTATGCCTGTAGAACGAACATCAAACTGTATGAAGTGGTACTTACTTGAATGAACGTTAAGCATAACATGTTTGAAATAATAAATGTTATTAAAGAGAAGCTGTGCTAATGGTGACGATGGTGAATATGAACGAATAAACAAAATAATACTTTGTAATTGTGATTGAGAAGAGCAAAAAGAGAGAGAGAGAGAAACCCTACGTTATTTATCGTTTGTCGGTCAAGACCAAACGGTTGACAACGTAACAACAGAATACTAGTCAATCTCAATATATTCCCACAATGTCATGTCTATGCATGCATACATTCAAGAATGATCTGTTCTTGTTTAATTAAAAAGAAAAACAGAACAATCTTGAATATGTCTCAAGCACAACGATATCACATTGTTTTTAATGTTTAGTCAGTGTCATGTACTATCTTATAGTATGAGTCAAGTATTTTTTTGTCTCGCAATACATATATCACGACGACCTATATACTGAACATCTTGTTTCATCGTTTTTCGCGACGATTTATCTTCTCTCTGTTCAATTTCAAAAAGCAATTAACCAACTTCTTTTCTATAGTCTTATCATCCTCATATTTCACTCAATTTCAAAAAAGAAAAATGAACGCATACATACACGCGACTTATACCTTTTCATTATCATCTTTTGTGGAGGTGAATGCAATCAATAGAAAAGAAACTTATCAATGAACAAATTGTACATAAAAGAAGAAAGAGAGAGATGGTTAACAAAACAAAAATTAAACGATTATCTTTCGTTGAAAAGAAAAACGAAAGACTTTTATCTATTTGGATAAATTTGTTTTGCAGAAATGATGATAACTAAACAAGCAAAAACTATATCAAGAATATTCTCCACATTTTTTTTCTTAATAACTAACCAATAATTCTAAAACTAGAAAAAGTTTTCATTTTGTCTTTAAATTTCTTTTAAAATTCTGTTTATGAGGAAAACGCTTTTTTCCATATATCGCACACTCCACAACAAAAAAAATTAGTACAACATTTTATACAACAGGTTAAAATTGCGGAGATATATGTAGCAATAAGTAACCAAAATGAAAATGTATATAAAACAGGATGACAATACGTTGGTGTACTGTCTGCTCTTTCAGTCTGCACACCTCGTGATCGTACACCAAAAATCCAAATATTTCCAACAAAAAACCAAACAAATAAAAATACGGCTACTGCACGTCGGATTCCTGTTGCGGCGGATATTATAAACATGACGAGAAAATGGCCAGTTTTTTCCTTATTATTAAATGAACGTAACAACGCGCAACCAGATGAGATTATCAGTAAGAGTACAACAGTTATCCCGCATGAACCAGCAATAATCAGATACAAAGGAATATTGGGCTCGATAGGACATTGATCAATAAATATGATGCCAAGCGTCAGTTTTGCCACTGGTACTACTAGCACAAAACAAAGATAAAGTAACGAAACAACTGTTCCAATACCACCGGCACACAATCTGGTGAATATGTTCGCTTTATGTTTAGGTTTTTTATTATTAACCACTGGTTTTTTGGAGGGTATGCTTTTTTGTCTAACGGGCACTGGTGGTCTTTGAATAGTTCTCGTAACCGGTACTATCTGATATAACTGACGGTCAGTCTGCGGTGTTTCTATGGTTTCAACAGGCGGTATGACAGTTCGAGTCGATGATACGCTATTATTTAGTTCGTAAAATTGTAGATCTGGGATAGACGGTGGTGCTACACGTGGAAGAAGTCTGCGGGGATCATTTTGAATGTAATTTGATACAATGGGTTGGCTAATTACACTTGGTGTATGATTGCGTTCGCTCGGAGGATTCAATTGCTGGTCTAGCCTTGGATTCGAAACGTGTTCGATGATCGATCGATCTGGTAATACTGGTTGACTAATTCGTGAGTATGGTTGCCATAACCGGCGTACCGTTGGTACTCGTACAAAAGGTCGTGGAATTGTTGGAATAGGCGTAAAACGATATTGTTGTTCATATGGATCAAATCCATTTGATTGTGTCTCCTGATTATATAAATCGATCACACTCAACCGTCCCAGTGGTGCACGTTGCCGTTCACTAACATAGGAATCAGAGGATGTAAATGACGAATCGCTGAGTTGACTTGAAAACATAACGAACGAAAACCTTATGTTTTTTTTGTTGTTGAAAGTAGTCGATGTGTGTTACATTAGTAAATCAAAAAATGAATATTACGTTGGCGAGATGAGCAAACAATCGGTTTTGTAAAAGTAGTACTATTAGCAGCAGTAAAAAGAGAAATAGAAAAAAAGGATGAAATGGAAAAAGAAGATACTTGTTCAGAATTTTGTCAATATTCGGGTGTGTATTGATTATTATGTCATTGCAGAATACACACTCACTCATTTTTATGCAGAAGAAAATACTAATAGAGATAATATAATAAACACTGGACTTCTCCCACTTATTCTTGAAAAAGACACATATGAATAAGAAAAAGTGAATAAAACAATAGACTTACAATACTAGCTATACTACGAATAAAACAACAAACATTATTACTATTATTATTACGTCAAAAGTATTTTTTTAGAATTCCATTTCATTATTGAACACAGATTTCCCTAGTTCAAATTCAAACTTCATTTCGGTTTGCTTGTAATGCAAACCTCAACCATCTCATTTAATTAAGAAATTGGCTCTCAATCATTAGCTACAAAATTTTGTATAAATTTAGTACTCTAGTATTTGTAGTAATAGTGTTTTTGTATTGTATAATTACAATTGCATTTATTTTAGTAGAAAAATACGATGTTATTCATTCTCATATTTTGTCTTCGTTATTAATGAGCTTTGAAGTCTTATTGGTATAATGGATAAATCAGAAATAATGGCACTTTCCAACCCAAAACATAAAAGGAAATATTTATTTTGAACACAGTTCCATGCATCAGAATGGAATCAAAATGTATATTCTGATGCTCCGAAGTGTCGTCTTACTTCTCGTATGTCAGAAGCTCGGATAAAATTTACCGAAAAAAGGACAATTTTCACCTTTTTTCCTTGACATTGGAAAAGAAATGAAGCTAGAGTCCTACAGGTTATTACTTTTTGACAACCTATAACCTAACCTATGCAAATTTTCACAACCTAAACCTAAACCTAACCAAGGTTAACCTAATACAACCTATGCAATTTTTTCCCAAAACCTGGTTTCAGAAGCCTGAACTTCAGCTTTGTTCCATAACGTTATTGTTTCTTATCTAAACACCGTCTGATAGGAAAGATTATACAAAATAAATCACATTTTACATGAATATAGAAAATGAATCGGTTGAGCCTTTTATTCTTTAATGCAATCTTTGGAAAATAGCTTTCTGAATAGGGAGACCCTCTTAAGAGTAGACCAGAATTTCACTTTAGGCTCTCCATGCTACGAAGGTTCTGTTATTGTTGTGTATTCGCCATCTATTTTTAAAACGTAAGTTTTTTCCATGTACTTCCTTTTTGTGCTATTGTGCTATTTTTCAGTTTAAAAATAGTTCAGTACTAGATAACCTCAGTCTGAACTTTATCCTCAAGCGATAAAATTCTACTCGAACTACGCTTTATTACTCAAAGTACTGGCTGTTTTAATGTGGTCATTCAAAATCGGTTTAGGTTTTAGGCTATCAATGGCGTAACCTACAACCTAACTTATAAAAAATTTCATATCCTAAATCTAACCTAACCTATAGAAATTGTAACCTAAACCTAACCTAACCTATAGGTTACGTTAGATTAGGTTTAACCTGCAGGGCTCTAAATGGAGCTATCAAACTTTCTCTGTCCGGATGTAACGGACAGGGACGTTTGATGAACGTCCCTTTGAACGATAGAGACAAATGTCTCTTATGATCATTGGTGCACACCCATGTCGCCAAGGTAAAATGATTGCGCGATCACACAAAAAAAGTGCAAAAACACACGTGACATAACGCAAAAAATGGTTACAAAAGCAAAATGCAAAATTCTGTATATTCTTCTAAAACAAAATATTTACAAAATTTTGGTTTTGGTAACATGGGCAGGCCTACTCAAATTTAGTCAAACGCATGTCTCATAATTTTGTAGACTTATTGAAGGAAGAGCTTCTTTAAACTGCTGTATTCTCTATCTAATATTATAATTTATTTTTAAACTTAGAGAGACTAAGTCATGCTCTTTTCTAATAATTGAACCACCAAGTAGTTTAGGCTGAAAAGCATCAGCTTTTTTATATGAAATTCTACTTAATTAGATTCTGATCAAATTCCAATTCTAGCTCTATCAGAATCTAATCAGAATCTCAATAATTGTATGCGTTGAATATGTCGAATTCTGTGAATTCTAGAAATTTTCATGAAATTGTGGACCTTGATACTGCTGGAGTTTTTACACTTAAAAGCATGGGAATTTAGCCTTGTTTAACATTTCTTGCGTGACACGTTCATTATGTTTTTTTCCTCTCTAAAACTTTTTTCGCTTGAGGTTAGGTGACACATCAGATTCAGGTCCACGTGTGAATGTAGATAAATGACTCAAAATTGAGTCGTTTTTGCATGGGCTGCCCGATCCTCTAGAGCTTTCCAAATGTTGGTTGCCGCCACATGAAGTATTTTTTTTACTTAGTTTTTTGATTTAACTCTACTGTGGAAAAAGCAAAGTTTTTCTGATATATGTTTGTAATTATGCTATCAAAGTAATGATGTTATTTTTGTTTTCTAAGCAATCGAGTACTGCATGTCTGAATTATTTTTAGGCACACTTTTTTCTGTACTGGATTATCCTATGCTTTTTTTTATAATTTCCGATTTCTTGTTTAAAAGAGGCGAACAGATAAACATTACAGATGCTAATAGGAAATGAAGTAATAATAATCGAACGAGAATGATTTGGTAGTTTAGTACAGACTTCTATTTAAAGAATAAACTATTCGCAAATCGATATTGCGATATTGCCATTTGAAGGTATAGAGGTTAAATGCTTTGCCTTCTTTCTCTCTTTTCCTCTCTTGATCCCGTGCGATTTGGTAAACTTTCTATTGCCGTTCAGTATACGTGATAATGATAAACTTAATGTACTTGTCACGCTCTACTGCTAACCAGTTATGTTTCTTGGATACATTCATACATGGATTTGCTACTGTATCATGTGATGCGTTTAACCAAGTCTTTCTATAGCGGATAATATGCTAGCGAAAAGACTATGGCGACATTTCTCCCTATTGACACACAAACAACTTATTTTTACATGGGCAAGTTTTCTAATAGGCTATTTTTCACATGGTTTTCTAAAAAGAAGTCCTTCTGAAGATTATCCGTGTTCTGATCAATATTTAAATGGAGCAGATTTAATATCCAAGGTAAAATAGAAGTAAAAGCACAAGATTAAAAATGAAAATTATTTTCCAAATTACATCACACTACTTCTTTAATGCTTAGCCAATAATATTTTTGTTTATTTATTACTAGTTATTTGCGGACAACAATAACGAATTTTTTGAATGGCCAACAAATCAATTTTATGAAACGAGGCCAAGAATCTGTATCGTTCATGCCGATACAAGAAGTCTCAATACAATTTATGATGCTAATAATAAAAATTTAGATCCTCAGATGTTATCATTTGATTCATTTAACTCATATTATACTCAATTTTATGCATTGATACATGGTTATGATTTTAAACGAATTAAGGTACCAACAATATCTAATAGACATCAGACATGGACTCGACTCAAAGGAATCTATGATACATTACACAAATATGATATTGTTGTACATTTTGACGGTGATGCGTTTGTGAGAAATCTTTCTATTAGTCTCGAATCTTTAATGGAATATTGGAATTTTACGGAAAATTCTCATTTTTTACAAGCAGTAGCTATTGGTAATAAGAATCATTCAAATTGTGGATTTTGGATAATTCGAAATTCTCGTTTAAGTCGTCAAAAACTTCTAGATTTAATCGAATGTCCAGAAAAGATAAAAGGTTGTGAAAGATGGCGAAATCATTTTGCACATGAACAAACGGCATGGAACAAATATTTTCGACATACAATGAAACAAGGTGAAGAATTTATTGTTGTGCCCCAAGACGAAGCAAACGGTTGGCCGGGTAGAGGTGGAAGATTTGTTGTACACGGTTGGGGAAAAAAATATCAAATAAAAAAATGGATGACCGCTGAAATAGTTAGAGAAATGATGATTTTGATGCATAAGTTTATGAATAATCATTATGTACCGTGTAGTACATGGGAAAAAAGTAAAACTTCATGCGATTGATTAATTTATAGAATTGATTCGTCTTATAGGTTACAATTACAAATACTATGGAGTTCTAATGTTATCGAGCAAGAAATAAATAAAAACCTAGAAGTGTAAAGAACAAACTATTGTTATGGTACAACTAGCATATCTAAACTAAAGATTACAACGTTTGCTTCGAAACAATATTTGTTCGAAACGAGAGTGTAGCGAGAAAAAGCAAAATGTTTGCAGATTCATTCAAACATTCATACGCTGTTTTCAATTTTTACAAAGATAATGAAATGATTTTTTTATATTCTCGTTCGATTCATGATTTTAACTGTCATTATTTATCTTCGGAGATGAATAAAAACGTCTGTGTACTTTTTGACAAAAATGAGAAAATACAGTAAATATACTGTTTTTTTATTATGATATACGTGGGAGAGTCAACAATAATGGGAAACCAAAGTTTTTTAATTTCATATAAAAAAAATTGATAGTTTAAATCGTGAAAGAAGGAAAATACAAAAGAATTTGATTAACTACCTTTGTGAACATTGGTATTACGCGTTAAAGTTCACTAATATACTAACACAACTTTAACCTATGTCTGGTTTAACCTTCTTCGGCTTTATTTAGAGAATGTTTTGTCAAAATGTGTTTTCATTTAATGTTTGGAGAAAGCCTTTTCCTCTCAGAAAAGTTTTTTTTCTTTCTCAAGAGTCCGCCTGTGTCCATTAAAAATATCGTTTTGTTCATTGTGAAAACAGTTTTTGTAGCAACGATATGATGTTTCTGCATTATAGTAAATTTTAGTCAGTACAGAAAAAAACAAATTCTCATAGCCATTTTTCTTCCGATAGCAAAAGCTGCCATTTTGGATTGATCTTATTTTCTTCCCATGTTACATATAGTATTGATATTCACTATCCAAGAAGCTATGGATTCATTTATATCGATTTATGTCTAGTTCATGTAAAATTGCAACCAGCGTACTCTTGATTATTCTCTTCTTCTATTGTATCATCCATAGTCGCTGTTTATTCGGTAACAGTCGTATGCATTGTCAGTTTTAATTCGGATTTTTTCTAATATCATGACTCATTATGGTATGTATGTATAATGGTGCTCATCCTCTTCCTTCTGCATTTAGATCAGGAAATCCGAATACTGAACCTTGTCGAAAAGTGTTGAATTCGACTAGAAATTTATCGAATTTACTCAGGTTAAATCTGAACGAATTTAGTCTGTAAAGCTCAGAATCTGATCGGATTGGTTTGAAAAGGGATCGGATCCGGTAATTTTCGCGTATTTCAAATGTTGACAGAATTCATTAGGATCTTTCACCAGGATAGATCGGATCCTGTTGAATCTTATTCCGGTATTTATTCAATTATGAATTAATCTTTTATATATAACGAATCATATTTTATTCTATACGAAGTGTATAACCATTTTAATTACATCTGCACCATCACACCGATACATTTTATCAGAATTGTAGTGAGCAATGACAAATATATGAAAATGTAACCGCGTCTCTTGTTCTATACAAACCACTTCCACGTTGACTTTGCGAAAATACTCGACTCACAATCCCATTATTACATTGTTAAACTCAGGAGGGAAATCCACCAACTTGACAATCGTTTGCGTGCCAAAATCCAGAGGCTCATAGGTTATCGATGGTCCTGAATCCGAATATCACCAAGAGACTGGCTGCTAGGCCCTGCATGACCTGGCTTTCCAGAAATCTCCAAACTCCTCAAAACTTTTTCTAAATAAATCATGATCGTAGTCCGTGAAAGTAGGATCAAAATGAGACATCTCCCAGATCTACACGACCTTTCTTTGCAAAGTTATAGAATTTACAAGATAAGCTCAAAAAATGTTCATTGTCACCTCAGAGCTACAGAAAGAAAAAGGAATTTAGAGTTCATCCTGTAAATTCTATAACTTTGCAAAGAAAGGTCGTGTAGATGTCTCATTTTGATCCTCATTTCGCTGGTTACAATCATGATTTATTTAGAAAAAGTTTTGGGGATCTTTTGAGGTTTCTGGAAAACCAGGTCATGCAAGGCCTAGCAGCCGATCTCATGGTGATATTCGGATTCAGGACCGTCGATAACCTATGACCCACTGGATTTTGGCCCGCAAACGATTTTCAAGTTGATAGACTTCTCTCGTCAGTTTCGAATCGTATATTTTTGCAGTTCGTCTGCAAAGATCAAGTTCGTGTGTTCGATCCTAGCTTCGTGCAAGGATTGATTTTGTGTTTTGATAGTTTAAGTTTCAGAATGATATAATGGGAATTTATATTCTTGATTTCGTTCTGGTTCAAGATTAAAGGCTTAAACCGAAATGTATATATTAATTTCATATTCAGCTGTATGCTTGTAGACATGATCTATACACAACTTCATGCATAGTTCGTAAACAATCATTTGTCCCAAATTGATTGTCAGTTCGTATGTTTGTTTCAAAGCTATGACAAAACAGGTACCTGTGTTGTTCTCTGTTGGTGCTGATCTTTCTTAGCACTCGAATCACGACACTTTATTGAAAAGAAAATTGAATATCTTCATTATGGTACGAGCAAATCAGCGGATATTTTTACCAAGGATACAGGCATATTCGCACTCCAAATCCATACTGACAAGGTTAGTGAGAACTATTGTTCAGTACATTGTTTTTTTTCCTACCTGTGGAAATGTAAAATTTTCTTGTTGAATTGAAAAGTGACACTTAGCAAAGATTCTTAATATCCTTGTCCGTATAGATTTGGAGATTGAACATGCATCTATCCTTAGTAAAAAAAATGAGCTCTTTTAGTCGACCCGTAATGGAAATATTCAAATTTTCCTAACTCTAATGACTTTCAGGACACCCTATATTGCAAAAATTTTAATTATTATCTAATATCACATCTCAAACTTTGCCATGTAATATAGAAAATTGTTTAAAATATCATTAACAAACTACATTACTCTATCTTTTTCTGTGCAGCAGACTAAAAATATTTGTAGCAATTTGTTTTTCAAAACAAAAAAGATTACCACACATGATGAATCAACGCAACTTCTTCACTATTCCTTTTAGATACAATTTTCTATTTGAAATACATTCACTCTTAAAATATATCGATAAAAGAGCAGTGATATATGAAAATAGAAAATCTTGGGTTTTTTGTCAAATATTCTTCTAACAAAGGTATGTTAAAGAAAGAAAAGTATCTGTAGTTTTTCTCATTATATCTAGGTAGTACACCGGATATCATGCTGTAATCAATATTCCACACATAAGTTATAGTTTAATAAGTATAATAAAAGGGAACTAATTTTTTCCTCTCTCTTTTTCAAATCAATTCATTTGTATTTCTCATTCTTAGACTTTTTACTCCTTTTATTAAATTTTATGCAGAAATTTATATCTATTGTTCAATGTAAGAGCTTGTTTATTAAATATGTTTGTATACGGTAATAATTAAGTTCAAAAAAAGTTTTTGTTCGTATGTAGGCATAAAATTATCTATTACAAATTACAAGGAATAAATAATCAAAAAGCAACTATACCCACGTATTGTTTTATTATTGCCTATAAAAACTCAATAACTTTTTCTAATGAACTAGAAATATATTATTGAGCTGTTGCAAGAAGAAAGACATCAAAATTAGACGGAACAAACGCTGCTATATTCACAATTTTCATTTCTTCACAAAATGTACACGACAATTTCAAATTTACAAGGTATGTCTACCGTTTTATGTTGAAATGATACAAAGTTAAACAGATTATTTAGTTTTCTTCTAATAATATTAAATTGTCATACTCTGAATAGTTCGAATAAGTTTGTTGCTATGGAATATGGGTACCGATTTATATCCATAAATTAATCTATAAAAATTAAGATCGCCTGCTGAATATTAATCGTCTTTATAATATTTAAAGTAATTAAATCGTCTCTCACTGGTAGAAACGAAATGGAAAGGATTCTAAAAGAAATATCAAAATATATATATATATATATATATTGATTATACCTGACTCTGTTCAATTGATGAGATTAGTCTGCAGAATTTTTATGTCGACAGACATTATGTATTTTTGTAAGGAATTTTGTTTTTTTATTTTCTTCTGTCTTTCGCACCCCTTTTAGGTAAAATGTATCTATGTATGTGATCTAGAGAACTATGAAAGCTAGAAAAGTTCTGGAAAAAGGTAGGATATTCTTCCGATATTGGAGATTGATCAATACATATTTTTCTCTGAAGTAACAGTCCAGATTCGGCGCCATAAGCTACACAAGTGGAAGGAAAGTGTGTTTTGGACTTAGACAATTATTGTTATCTTTGTCCGGCGCCATTTAGTCAGAGAAAAATAATTTCTTTCTCTGTTTTTCAAATTTTCTTCATTGTTGTTTTATATTATAAGCAGTTCAAAGAGTAAATCAAAGCAAAAATGCAATGGTCACAGCCTACTGATAGGATCTGCTTGGAGCAGTAGGTTCAGTCAGAGACGGAGTCTGTCGACATCGCAACTTGTGCGCAGCGCAATTGCAATCTAGTTTAATACTTTTGATCTAATTCGCTTCAATCGTTGATGTTTCTATTTTCAGGGCAAGTTCGCTGTTTGATAAAACATATCTGCACCGATTTATCAGTCATACAATGGATATTCATATTCAGTGTCGTCTCTGTTTTATTCAGTAAGTTATCTGACAGTATAGTTGTTCTGCTATTCTTCCTGATCTTCGGTATATTTTAGCGAATTCATTCGCCAAACCACTTGATTCAACGCCTGAAATTCAACAACAATCGCATTTAGAAAGTTATTATCCGTTTTTGTATTCTGATTTAAATTCGGAATCAAGTTTATTTGAACGTGCAGCACCAAGACTAGGTCGAGCTGCACCTCGCCTTGGCCGCGCTGCCCCACGTCTTGGTCGAGCTGCACCACGTCTTGGACGTCGATTTAATCATGCTGGTCGATATTATGATAATGAGGTTGATGGTGCCGGTGATTATTTAGTTGACACAGTCGAACAATGGGGACATGAGAAGAGAGCACTGCCAAGATTAGGACGAAGCACGTTCTATTTTGATGATGAAGAACATCATTCAAATACACAATAGAAACACTTGTAATATTTCATTCAATATATTCAGTGCTGTAAAATCTGCGTTTTTCTCAAAATTATAGTTGTCATCATCATTTTTATAATAAAGAACAATAAACATACAGTGAAACCTATGTTTAGGCAAATAGATATTCATTGAAATATTGTCGAACTATAGGTGGTAGAAATTTTGTAAATTCAATTAAAGAACGAGACTAAAGAATGAAAGAGTTCGGTGAACATACGCATTAGTCCAATTATTGATTTTGGCCTTCTCTCTTGATTAAAATAAATGAAAATTAACATTCTATAAAGCTCTACAAAAAGCGGTACGATTAACATAAACAGTTTGATCCATTTTAAAATTATAGCGTTGATAAAATGGTAAACAAACATCAATTATAAGAAAAAGTATTAAATGAATACTAAACATTGTATGAACAAAAGAATAGACTCGAAAATTTTTACAATTTCGTTTATGACCATAACCTAATAAATTGACTTGTGCAAAACATGTCCAACAAAATCGATGCCGACATATTCGACATTTTATAATATCACAGCCCTTTGTCTTTTCAACATAACACGAACATTTTGGACATTGCTTAATTCGATCATTTTTCGAAAGTTCAAAAGTATATTTTTGACATTCATAATCATCGATCCATGGTATACGATGATAAAAACATGTTTGTTGTTGACAATGATGACAAGTAACGATATTCGATTCACAATAAAGGTCATTTGACATAAAAAGAGGAACTAGAACAGAAAATACTAATAATGAAGAGATTTGAATTATCTGAATAGAAAAACAAATGACTTTAATTTTTGGAATCGAGTTTGACTGTACTCTCTTCATATTGTATGAAAAGTAATGACATCTTACTTTGCTTCTCTTGACACGGTTTAATATAACAAACTGGAGTATATTTTCCAATTATTAGTACTAGTCGTTTCATTATTGTTAAGTTTTTATCATGAAATTGTCCCGAACCACATCCATGTGAACATCTTACAAATGCCGGCATCTTTCGTAAACAAGATTGTAAATATAGTGCATCATATCGATCAAATAATTCACTTTTATCTAATAAAATGGACTTCACAGCGTTAAAATCATATATATACGGACAATTATATTCTGGGCAAGGTATTCGAACTTCCATATCTGATGTAATCTTTGTTTCAATATGATTAAATACACAAATATCACACACTGTTCGAATTAAATGTTTACATTCTTTGCCGTATGTTTTCATATAATAATCATGTGAACGGAGTTCAAAACAAACTGAACAATCTTTGTCTAATTCAATATCAATAACTGGTTTCGTTTTAGAAATCAACAATTTTAAAAATGGAATTTTTGATTTAAAATAATAATATATTAAATATAACCATCTTATAATAGATTTAATTTGAAAAGAAATAATGATAAAAAGTTTGAGTAACCAAACGGCTTGTAAAACCATCTAAAAATAGAATGTACACATTTCTAAGGTATAGGCTTCCTACAGTTCTTTCTCTCACCTATAGATAAATATTTCTTCAAAATGTTTTCTCTAGAGTATAGAATGGAGTGATGGAAAAACAAGGTGACCATTGCTAATGAAACAGACTTGTTTCTTCAAAACAGTCTATTAAAACGAATCTCTCACACTCACCACATATCCAACGAGACGAACGAATTATATATAGTTATAAGTCTGGTAAAATAGAACAGAAGAAAAGAATGAAAAAGATAGATATATTTTAGTCTTAAAATCTCTCAAGTCGAAATCTTGCTGTTCAATGTGACTCTGTTCAATAAAAATTCCTTTATCTGTACAGAAAAAACCTATCCATTGTGAGACATTTTTTAAAGTAGTCATAATACAGAAATGTTTACTTTAGGAAAAGCGTTCAGAATGAAGAAGTCATCATTTTAAAGAGGTGACCCAATACAGAAGTTTTACAGCAGTTTCGAATAGTTAAGGTCTCAATACCGTAAACAATTTCAATCTTTTACTATTATTCACATCATATCGACATCATTTTATACCGTAAAATACAAATTGTATAATTTCCTTGAACAATAAACTGTTGTTTATTTTCGTAATATTTGTATGACATATTCTTACCTATCTAATGCCACTACTTAAACAGTGACTTTCTAATGTTTTTATCAATGTCTCGAACATACGTAAAAATCACATCGATCTGAGAAAAAATATTGAAAAATGGCGTTATTCCCTTATACGGGACTACTATCATCCTTTATTCATAACATCAATTTGTATTGTAAAACGTTTATTTTAATAGTTTAGTTTTGTTAGAGGCTCATGTTTTGTAAATTATTGAAGGCTAATTTCTTGTAAAAACTGAAAAAATATCCTACCTTGAGGCTTTTTCTGAAAATTACGAAGATTAATCGGAGGAACTGTATTATAAATCAGAACCCATTAAACGACTTAATAGTGTTGAGGTTCGTAACCCTGAAGCACATGACTTATAGTACGTACCAATAACTACCCAGTCATGGTATCAATTAAAAACTGATACTTCATCGGTCAAAAGTTTTCGAATCAACGCATCTTATGATATTTTTCTTAATAAACTGCATTCGTTTAGATTCTGATCAGCTTCTTTTTCTTTTTAATAACATCATATTTATTACGAGACAATAACAAACAATTTTACAAACAAAACCATTACTAGCCGTTAATAAGTTCATTTATTTCGTTTAATAATTGTTCAACAAATTGTGTAAAAATTGGCTCCATTATTCTGAGTTGTATATTCCTCGGTGAATTCGAAAATCGACTTAAATTTTTAATCATCAATCAAAACTGACGATTATTTAATAAATTTGCTAGTTCATTTGAAATGAGACAAACATAAAAATACGCTCGTTGACATACATGAATAACCTTTCTAAAGTTATATATCAGATCTCAAAAAAGATGACAATGACACTAAATCGTTACATTTAATATAATTGAGAAATATCGACGAACGTTTTGCTAAAAAGTATTATATAAAAGAATATACTATTATCTTACATAATGAGTAACATACTTGGTTTTTGTTTCACATATTTAGTTTTCTAGTAATACATACAGCGATCTTATCTATGATAGAATGCTGTGGAAAACATTGAACAGTATAGCTAAAATAATGAAATTTCAAAATTAATCAAAAGAAGAAGACCTAAAATAATGAGAATCAAATCTACTATTACTAACGACATTTTAGACACTTATAAACAATATCTTTATGATGACAAACTTTACATAAATGTTGTTAGGGACTTATACTACGTAATCAATTATTTTTGCACGTAAAAGTTCTTTTTCACTTTTTTCTCAGATCGATGTGATTTTTACGTATGTTCGAGACATTGATAAAAACATTAGAAAGTCACTGTTTAAGTAGTGGCATTAGATAGGTAAGAATATGTCATACAAATATTACG